GGTCAAAAGTTACTTAGATATTTATATGCGCAAATGCAAAAACACCATACTATTTATAGCAGACTTTTTTCAGAGATTCAAAGTTTGGATTTGCACTGCCATATAACTGGCCATGACTTTTAATTAAAATGTAAGGTATGAAGACACTTGACCACACCCTAAATAGTTTGGTTGTTTTATATAAGTACAGCCTTCATCACATTCTCCAATAATATTGCAAAGACAGAGCCTATAAATCACCTTACAAACAGAAAAATCAAGATTAAAACAGCCTAACACTTTCATAATAAGATAAAGACTAACAATACCTTATCATCATTTCTAAATAGAATGTTTTCCTGAATGTGTCAGGCAATATTCCCATTTGAGCTGTTTTTTTCATTGTTTGTTTTTTGAGGAAAATTTATCTTTAACATCTCTCGAATTTTTTGCATTTCTTAATTTAATAGATAATGTTTTTAAGAAATGTTTTATTATAAATAGGGTAGTGAGCTTATTGAGGGCAGAGGACTATATCTTCTCCATTCATTCCCAGTAACTTCCATAGTTGAGGGACTGCATAACCAATATTTGTTGACTAAATAAATATTCTAAAATTCCTAACAACTGACAACAATATTATATGAACAAGCTGTATTTGGCCGATAATTCTTTGAATTGGAGCAATATTTACCAAAGAAAAATTAATACTTTTTTCTTTAATCTTAAAATATGCCTCAATTATCCTTTCTTTAATTTTTTTAAATTAAATGTTACACTTTAAGCTAGCAAATGGTTATTTAGATCACTTCTTTACTATTTTGTTTTGTGGTTTGAGGAAGAGGAGAAAATGATCCGTAAAAAGTAAATAAAGTATGTGCAATTCTGAATCCAATTCTATATGTTGAAATTTGAATTTTAATAGTTTTGAGGAGTATATTTTAATAATGCTGTGGAAATAAACCAATTTAAAATGTTAATGAAGTGAAGATTTTCAAGATTAAAAAAAATGATGGATTCACTATCACAACCCATGTATGATTCAGGATGATTTGCACATAATGATATATTAGATAAAGATCCAGAGATTGTATATAAAATGATCTAGACCCAAAGACCAAAAAGCCAACATCTTAAATGTGGTTTCATAGCAGTTATTCTTTTTACTGTTGGGGGCACCTGAGTGGCTCAGTCGGTTGAGGATCTGACTTTTGGTTTCAGCTCAGGTCATGATCTTATGGTCGTGGGATCAAACCCCAGCATAGGGCTCTGTGCTCATCAGGGAGTCTACCTCAGATTCTCTCTCTCTCCCTCCGACTCACTCTCTCCCTCTCTCTTAAATAAATAAATAAAATTCTAAAGAAATAATAAAATAAAATGCTCTTTTAAATTAAAAAAAAAGTCCTATCAGCTAACCAACTATATACAAGTCACCAAGGAAGAGCCACCCTGTAAAGTAGAACCTAATTCAATCACCTTCACTCCTCCCAAAAAATAAGTAAAAAGAAAGGAGATAAGGAGAACTTATAACAGCTCTCAGCTCTTTAATATAGGGAAGAAATTATTTAAAATATTTTGATTCTAGTATTTTGCCTTTATCTTATTTTTTTTAACTTCTAAATAATCTAGAAGTTCTATCAAAGAATTTCTGCTTGGCACCCGTCTACTTACCTATGATCTAATGTTTTCAAAGGAAAGCACATACAAGCCTTATTTCCCTCTTAAACTTAGATATTAAATTGGAAAGATACAATGCACAACATTTTCACAAATACATCTATGCATCCTTGATTTTTGCTATTTGTAAATATCACTCAATGGCTCAACAGCATAATCTCTCCTTTTCTTTCCTGATCTCATTTTCTCCAGAACAGGTTTCCATGACAACTTATATGTGATTTTTTTTTATAAATTTCTATTTTGGAATACTATTCTTAAGGGTAAGAATTCATTTAAGTACAAATATAAACTTACCAAGTTAACCTAAACAATTTTGACCTTTCAAATATGTATTTACATCATAAATTTAAAGCAATAGAAGAGGGAAATGCCAACTAAAACAGAAAGCAAAAATACAATGTTATAAAATTAAATTAATTATCCAGTTCCTATCACTGTTGTTTCAGTGTGGCACTTAAGATCATAAAAGTTAGAAATAAAACACTTCTATTATATAATTGAGTCAATCTCCTCAATATTGGGAAAAGATAAAGATGACGATGACAGGTATAACAAACTGAAAAAGGAATTCAGACAGTTAAAAATGTTCAAGTATATCAATAAAAGATGAACTAATGTAAAAAAAGTAAAGAGGGTTTATAAAAGTTAAATACTTAACTTCTATTAAGAATGAGACTTGTGGCAGTAAGACCACAGCTGAAGCAAACCACTTGATAATTGATTTATGTCTTCTAGAATCATGTCCGTGCAAAATATAATTTCATCCTGTGACCGACCTCCCAATGTAATTCTATTTATCAAACTAGTCAGATAACATTAAGTCAGGCCATCATCTGAACTAAGAGTTCATATAAAAATATTAAATCACATTTAAGTAGAATGGCAACTTCTGGTTACTCTTTTTTAGGCAACCCCTAATAATTTGAAAAAGGATTTCCCTGAAGACAAGTCCCACAAATGTTAGCCAGTCTGAAAGAAAGAAAAACACTACGTATTGACTGGTCAATAAAAATGCAAAGTTCAAACAGGGTTCAAGAAGTCAATTTGAATTCCATATTTTCACTCTAATGTTGGGCAGTGAAGGGTAAAAATTCTACCAAAGTCCTGGAATACATATATTGTTTAAAAAGTCATAGAGGACCTTTCAAAGTTCGAATTCTAGAAAGTGCCTTATGCTGCATTAAATCTCAAGAGCAACATGATCCGTGGAGATTTCATAAGCCAGTCAGTTATAATCAGTGGTTGTGGTAAAGAAGGACCTGGGGAGGATGTCATGAGACCTCCAGCATAATTTTGGATCTGCTATTAACTTGCTGTATGACCTTGGCCATCACTTAGCATCTGCAGTCCTCATTTTCCTCATCTATAAAATAAAGGGTCTTCATGAAGTGACCTCAAGGAAATTTTCCAGGTCTGTGATTCTCAGCTGATTCTGCTTCTAATGGCTCTTTGACCTTGTGTTAATCTCTAATATATCTGTGTTCTTTCCTCACCTGATATACCCTTAATATTGTTACAATGAAATCTTAGTAGGATTTTTTTTAAAACTATTTTCAAGTTAATAATCTACCCTTTGACCAATAATCAATAAAATCAATTTCCATAGCAATAATAAAAATTGAATACCATCATAAAGTTTTTGCTATGCAATCTAGCCTATAATAAAAGACATTATATTATCATGAGGAAAGATAATAAAACATTCTGTCTCTTTTATAGCACGCTATCTGGAAAAAAAAAAAATCACATGATGAGCCTGAAAACAAATTCAGATTATCTTTTTAGCCACCAAGTGGAAAGAGCACTGTGGCACTCAGCTGGAATTGAAAAAAACACAGATGTAATTGTCATGAGTCTGTGATTTAACTTAAGTAAATACGCACTTGTTTTTGTTTTTGCTTTAAATCCAACTGTTGCTGAATTTATAGAATGGTCTTAAAAGGAAGCTATCAGAGTTGAAGTTATTGATTCTATATTCAAATATAATAATGTGGACATAGTAAAATTTATGTATGCATTTAAATGCCAGATCCAACAGAGGAGTAATGCTTGAAATTGTCTCTTTCATATTCTATTTCAAACTGAAAACAAAACAAATCCTCAGACTTCTAAAGTGGTATCAAAAACACATCTTCTGACAAGTTATTAGATTGACAGCTGCACAATATCTCAGATGCAGAGACTTCTGACATACAGAAGAAGACAATAATGAGGATGGAGCCAAAGTGAGGCTGCCTAGGGGGTATTTTTTCTGGGTGTCAGAAGCAAACCAGAAACATGCAGTCGCAAAGATCTAACTAAATACACTACTCCATTCTCGTGTATAATTAAAAACCGTGCACATACTGTATAATTTTTGGTTATTTATATTTCTTTTATTTCCTTTAAACTGGAGAAACTATTATTGGTAACTTTTACAGTCCCTTCATGGGATTCTGAAGAATTAATTGGGAGCGTCAAGGACTAAATTTAAACTGTCATTCAAGCTAGAAAGTGCAAAGAAAAATTGAGGACAGAGTCACAATCTAAAGAAGTAAAATAAAGTTTGCAACAATCTAAATTACCCAGATTTAGACAACTGGACTGAACTAGCATCACCAAAGTGACTGATTCACATTCAACCTGTAAGAAACACAGATACAGCCCAAGGCGGAAAGGACCAGACTCCACTCCACAATTCAGTGTGCAGGTGGGCTCTCTGGTCAACTCACTGGGACAAACAATTCAGCAGTCTTCTCCTTTGGAAGGAGACAGGCCCAAAGGAGATTCTCTTCACAAAATGACGCCCCCCCCTCCGGGCACAGCCTCTCCCCACCCAGCCACCTACTAGATTCCATTTCCCCACCTCTGTCTTCAGCTTAGATCCCTAATTGGAGCCACTGCTTTGAGTCAGATGTGAAGGAGTGTCAGGCCTCAACTGAAAATGTCAGATCGTGATGACCTGAAGAAACATCCAAAGTAAAGGAAAAGTTGGAACAAAAGAGTCAGGAAAAAAATAATCAGGACGAAGCACGATACCAGTTTCGGGACAAGGCTCCAGACAGACTTGCTCCCCGAGAGGTCGACATTTGCCCTTTAGCTCCCATCTGCTAAAGGCAATCTCAGTTCGAGTGGAGGAGGAGGAGAGGAAGATGAAGGGGACGGACCGGGGGCACGGCGGCCAGGGTCCCTGAGTTTACCTGACACCAGATGGGCTTCTAATCTCCTCCTTAGGGAGCCCTGATCTCTTCTCCCGCCCACCCCCTCCCGCGTCCCAGAGGCCTTTGGTGGAAAAGAACAGAAAATTGGGGAAGGAGTTGGAGGGGCTGGAGCAGCAGGGAAGGGGGCGGTTCTGGCCTTACCCTGGCGGCTCTGGACGAGTAGGGGTCCTCGAAGAGGGCCCACATGCGGGGCTGCAGCCTCTTCCAGCGGCCAGACTTGCCGTCGGGGCCCCCCAGGCCCGCGGCATCCTCGATGCCCAACCTCTTGGCCGCCAGGTCCTCGTCGTCGCCGGGGTCGCCGCCGATGAGGTCGGGGGTCTCGAAGATGTCGAGCGCCTCCTCGGCGTCGCGGTGCTGCCGGTAGGTCATCCAGCAGCAGGGCTCCACGTCCGTCTCGTCGATGCCCCAGAAGGCCAGCTCCTCCTCGAAGAGCGGCCCGCACACGTCGGCGGGGCAGTGCAGCTTGCCGGTGCGGTAGTAGTTGAGCACATAAGCGAAGACGCCCGGGTGCCGGTCGAAGAAGAACTCGCGGCCGCCCCCGGGGTGGTCGCCGCCGCCGCCGCCTCGGGGACTGCAGTTGCCCGCGCCGCCCTCAAAGCAGCCGCCCGGCCCGGGGGACAGTGGGGGCGGTCGCGGCGGCGGCGAGAGCGAAGGGGGCGACGGCTGCAGCTTGTCGCCCGCCGCCGTCAGGCAGTCGCCCTGGGGCTCCGAGGCGGCGAGAAGGGCCAGGCGCGTCCCAGGCAGGGTCTTGAGGGTGCTGCGGTAGGTTTCGTGCCGGGTGCCCCCGACATTGAGGATCACCCTCTCGTTGTTCTCGATCTTGCCCATCTCTGTGGCTCAGACATGACTGGGGGGAGGCGAACACAGCGCCAAGTTAAAGATCTCGGCCGTCAGAGCCGCACCATGACCCCCACCCCCACGCCGAGCCCGAGTCCCAGGATGCAGGCTTGGAGACAGGCGAGGGGCAAGTGACCCCCCCAGAAGGAGATGCGCGCCCAGCCCTGTCCCCGCCTCAAGCAGCACACCTTCCCCAGGCTTCCAGAACACCAAGGAAAGTGGTCCCTGCCTCCCTGACCTTCCAGGGCACTTTCTTTCCTCCCTCACACCTTTCTCCCCTTCCTCTGATCTCTCCTACTTCATCTTTTCACCCTTCACCCTCCCTCCCCTCTGTCCCCTCTCACAGAAAACCTGCTTCTAGGCCCGAAGCCCCATTCCTCTCCTCTCCTGCCCCCAAACCCCTTATCTCTACTTCCTAGACCCTTTCTCCCCCTCTCTTGCTCCTTACTCTCCCCCTGCATTGGCCCCTCTCCTCCCCTCCCCTAAACCCTCCTTCCTCCTTCCTTGACCTGGAGGCAGTTCCCTTAGGCAAGGAGTTTCTCCGCTGAGGGAACTTGGCAGTGTTGGGTGAGAGCCCCCAGACGGGCCGGAGAGCCCCCATTCCACGCGTACCCTCGGTACTCTGGACGGCTCGCAGCGCCCTGGCACTCGGGGAGTGCCCTTTGCGTGCCCTGTTCTCGGTTCACTCCCACTCTCCCTCACGGACCAGGCAAAAAGACTGAACGCTCCCTGCTGTTGCCTTTCACCAAGGAGACCTGTGACTAATTTCCTGATCCAATTTCCTTTTCACATTATTACCGTTGTTGTTGTTGTTGTTGTTGTTGTTGTTGTTGTTGTTGTTAATATTGTTATTACTTGGGAAAGGAAACCACTAACTAGGTTTCATTTTTTAGAATACGAATGATCAGTGCATCCCACCCCATCCCCCTTCCCAAGGAAAACAAACGTCTGGGGGATGGAGAGTGGGGGGGTTGCTTTCTAGGAGGGGCGAGACCCTGGGAAAAGCCACTGGAGGCACACCCCCCGGATCCCTGAGCTGACAGTGTCCCCGTTTCCAGTCTCCCAGCCACCTCTCCCCAGGGCTTCACCTCCACATTCCCATTGCGGAAGGGGGCGGGGGCATGCCTGTCTGCAGGGTCGACATGCCCTTCCCGGCAAATCACCCCCTTTCCCTCCCGCCCCCAGATACCTTAACGAGACCGACAGAAAAGTGGTTCTGCTTTGGTTTCCGAGTGGACGAGGTTCTCCGGGCAGCCGGACTGAGTCCTGACACCCAGCCGAGCCGCCCTTCTCCAACGAGAAACTACTTGTTGGCGTTTTCCGGGTTCAGGTGGTTGGGCCGCTTCTCGGGGCGCTGGGGTCGCGGAGCCAGCCCCCGCCGGCCGCCGGCCGCGCTCCCCGCCTTCATTCTGCGAGCTGCCGGCTCGCCCCGCGCCAACCTCCGCGCCCAGAGTCACCATCGCGCAGGGCTGGGCAAACCATGGAGCTCGGGGCGGGTCCAGCCGGCGCTCCGCGACCTCGCCGGGAGCCGGCACAGCGGCTGGCCGCGGCCACGGCGGAGCTGACCGGAGGTCAGGACGGCTCACCCACTCGAAGGGGAAGTCACCCGGCTCCGACCCGGACCTGCAGGTTTTGTTTCTCCCCCGAAAGCAGCCGCTGCTAGTGCTGTCCCTTCCGCACCACTCGCCGTCAACCACCCGCGCCAGAGCACAGAGCTCAGGAAAGGGTGGGTGGGTGGGTGGGTCTGGGGAAGCTCTCTTGTACCAACCAGGTTCATATATTTTTCTTCCGTGAAGCTCTATCCCCACCCTCTCTGGAGCTTCTGCCTGCCTTGTTTACACCCCACTCTCCACACCCTTTCTCTTCCCACTGCCCCACCCCTCCCAACAAGTGAGAGAGCATCTCTAAGACCAATTCCTTTTTTTTTTCCCCCTTAATGACAGCTGATGGGAGAGAGAGGTCTACTTACAGGTGACAAGTGAGTCTTGTTTCTCGCGTCTTACACATGGCTCTGGCTTGCTCTTTCCAGTCAAATGTAGGTCTCCAGTCACCACATCATGGTTATATAAAACAAAACAAGTTTAAAAAGTTTATTCCAGGAACATAATCCTCTAGCAAGTGAAAATTCAGGTTTCTTTATCAGAAGCAACAGAGGCGAGCTACAGATATCCAAGTACAAAAGCAATTATCTAATTAGCCAATTTCTTCCTCTCAAATTTTTATTGGGCCTTGTATTAGTTTGTTAGGGCTGCCATAACAAAGTACCACAAACTGGACTGTTTAAATAGCAGAAATTTATGATCTCACAGTTCTGGAGGCAAAAGGTAGAAATTCAGGTGTGGTCAGGGTTGGTTCCTTCTGAGGGCTGTGAGAATTGGACCTATTCAGGGCCTCTCTCCTTGGCTTGCTGATGGCTCTCTTATCCCTGGGGTCTCTTCACATCATTTTCCCTTTATGCATGTCTGTGTATCCCTTTTTATATAAGAACACTTGTCATAACAAATTAAGGCCCACCTTAATGACTTCATTTTGACTTGATCACCTCTGTAAAGACCCTATCTCCAAAATAAGGTCACACCCTGAGGCACTGGAAGCTAGGACTCCAACATCTTTCTGTTTGGGTGGGGGGGAAGGGGGGTGGCGCTGGGACACAGTTCAACCCAGACCATTTCACACCACCAAACAGAGCATGTGTTTCTGTGTCTGTGTGTACGTTGAGAGAGAGAGAGAGAGAGAGAGAGAGAGTGAGAGACTCTATTCCACAGGTATAGCTTGAAAGGATTGAAAGCCGTGGAGTAGGTAAAACACCAGGTTGTTCGTGCGAAGAAGTCTCTTTGGAAAACATATCAATATTGACACCGCGATTGAGAAAGTGCAAGAGTTATGAATTACTATATAAGAAAGTTTTCACAATATATAGGACTGTAAGGTGGGCAGTTAAATATAAACAGTACCTTAAGAGATCATCTCTCTGTTATGACAGTAGATCATTAAACAAAGTAAAGAACTAAAAAGTGTCTGGAAAGTTATTGATGTCTGGGAAACCAATGTAAGAAAATATGATATGTATCCATTCATAAGAAATTTACTAACAGTATGTCAGTCCATGTGTAGTAATAACCTCAGGAACAGCTATATGGACGCAACCTTGTGACAACAAAAATTTGCCTTTACTAACATACACAGACACGCACACACACAAAAGTGTAAAGCTTAACTGCTGAGGGAGTGATTCTAGTTTAGTACTATTATCAATCTCCGAGGCATTTCTTAAAATAAGTGATAGTAAATTTCAACTGCCAGAAAATTTCCAAAGAAAAATTATATTCAAATTATAACATACATTCTCATATTATCTAGATGGTTCCTTATATAGCTTAATGTAAATTCAATAAGAAGAAAAAGGCATATGGTTTGCTTTAAAATAAATTAGCAATAGTAAGTGTAGTAACAGAAGCATTTATAATAATAGATAACATTTACTGAGATCTTACTATGTGCAAAACGTTTTCCATGAATTACCCCCTTTTAATTTAAATGGAGGAAATATTCACATTAAATTATAAGACTTCCAGAAAGATAACTCATACAGATGGCAAAAATCAATAAGGGAAGCCTTTAGCTCGATAAAATTAAATTTGTATTATGAGGGATCTACAGAGAAACCAAAGGCGGGGGCGGGGCGGGGCGGACCGGGAATGCTGCAAAGGACTCATGGAAGGGAAATGAGAAAGCAAAGGTCTAATGAATCAATTTGAGCCTAAGGTTATATAAGCTATCTAGAAATAATCACATCGACAAGAGGATCATCTTTGAGAAGAATCAGACTTCTCTTGTGATTCACAAAGCATTAGATGTGAAACTAGAGAACATTTCAGATAAGTTTGAAAATAAGAACGTGGAAAGATAAAAGGAAGAGATGTGCATACCAATGGAGAATTGATAAAGCAGTGAATGAAATACAGTCTCTCTCTCTCTCTCTCTCTCTCTTTTTTCTGGTCAATATAAGAGGGGAAGATCTTAAGACAAATATCCAGGCTTCATTATATAAGACAGGAGAGAACAGAAAACCCCTCCAGCTAACTAACTCCCTGATCCTTCTGTAAAAGACAGATAAAAGTGAAAAGAAAGCAAATTTTTTAAAGATGGCAATGGAAAACTGGGGTGGAAAAAACAGTTGTGGTCTCCTTTGTTGGCCTGTGTGGAGCAAGGATTTAAAAGACCCTATGGACATTACCCCTGGCTGAGAAGTAATTGAAATGCTGATTTCTTTATGTCCTCCAGTCAGCATCACAGAAGGACTACAGACAGGGAGCCCTACATCACATCACCATCAGAAAGGTGGATTGATCTCATTAAGCCACATTGTGACAGTCAGAAAGACATACTTGTGAAAGTTTAACAGTTGAACAAATCAACTCTTTTAAAGTTCAGTATAAGGATTTTTAAAATATTCTTCACCTTCAAAGAGCCATATATTCATGGACACAATTCCTCTGCCGATTAAAAAATGGCCACAATTGCTCATCCCACGTTATAGATATGCTCCCTTTATAATGTGAACTCGCATCTTCTCCCATCAAATCTCTTTCTCCAACCTCTGAATCTGCACTGGCTTTGTAACTTGCCTTAGCCAACAGAATGAGGTGGAAGTGATGTTGTACCAGTTTAAAGCCTTGGCTTCAAAAGGTCTTGCATACTTCTGCCCTCTCTCTTTTTTGGAAACTTACCCTGGTGCTATGAGAATTAGTCTTAACTGGCCTGCTTGATGATGAGAGACATATATGCCAGTATCTCTCAATCTCTGTCTCTCTCTCTCTCTGTGTGTGTCTCTCTCTCTCTCTCACACACACAAACACACAGAGATTTGCTACATAGAGAACCAGTATTAGGAAACAAGTCAGAGGACATAATAGAGCAAGGATTTAAAAGAAATAAATACCTAAAAGAAATGGAGTGCCCCTGACAGCTAAAACTTCTTATCTCTGCCCCAGATGAATCACGGCTAATTCCCAGAAGCAGGACTGCTTTGCTCTTATGTATGTGTCCAGAAGAACTGTCCAGCTGAACCTAGCCCAGAGGCACTGACCCACAAAATTATGAGCTAAAAAAAGACTATATCTAGGCTAGTAAGTTTTGGAGTTGTCTGCTACCAAGCTGATTCATCCTCTAAGTTCCCTTTATCTGAAAAGTATAAAAAAAAAAAAAATTGAGCTTACTTACCTACCCTCTTAACAATAACATTTATATCAGGTATTGCAAATTCTAAAAGAAAGTATATGATATATATTTTCCTTATTCCATACATTTTGAGAGGCAGTATTTCACAGTGGTTAAGTCCACGGGCCATGGAGACAGGTAAACTGGAGTTCATCTTCTGAGTGTTACTCACCAGAGGTCTGACCTTGAGAAAATTGCACAACTCCTTGAACCTCAATTTGTTCTTCTATAGAATGGGGAGAATGACACTATACTTAATATGAGGATTAAATGACATAAGGCCAATAAACACTTAAGAAAGTTTCTGGAACATTTTAGGCATCTACTAATAGTAACTTTTATTGCCAAATGATGAAGTCTCACACCAAAATAACATGATTAATAATTGACAGAAGCAGGGCCATAACCATATCCTCTGATGACAGTCCTAAGCCCTATCTATTCTACCATCCTGCTTTGTACAGAGGTCAAAAGTAGGTCAAATACTGGATAGTCCCTAGAGATGTAATGAAGCCAAAACCCTAGAATCCTTGCAGTAAGTCTGCATCCTTCTCAAATTATTTTAACTTGAAAATGTATGTATTAACCATTTTTAATGACCTAATTTAGGCAATACACTTTTTTTAACTACCCAGCATAATTACTTATGACAATTATGATAAGATAGATGTACACATGAAGAATTCATAGATTACAAATTTTACAACTTGGTCATTTGATTTGCCAGAAATATATATTTGCATTGCTTGTCAAGAGCAAGAGTCTCTGCATAAATACCCAGCATAACAACATAGACAGCCAATTTGAGCTTACTGTATACTTAGAAAATTAATGTGCAAGAGTGCTGAGAAAGGCATTTTAGATTGAAGGAAGAGAAAAATTTTCTACGAATATAGGATGATGTTGACTGATGAGCATTAAAAGCAAGAGTTGAAAATAGCCTTCTTGTTATGAAAAATTATGGGTCATAGTCCTCTGCACCAGCCATTCATTTTAATAGATGATGATGATAGATGGATGATAATGATAGATTAGATAGATAGATAGATAACCTTAG